ATTCACATAGACACACACGTTCGACAGCTAGCTGCATTTGTGTGTGTGTTTACATTTAGTTGTATTCGATTTGCATAGCAGATTTAAAGCAACTTTGAGAAAGGGGTCAGAGCTCCGCTGGCTGGCGACCCAAATCAAAGGCAGCTCTGCGGGCCATCAGCCATCAGCATCTGCTGGGCGTACAGATGCAGGTGGGCGGGGTCGGCGCTTAAACGCCTTCCATGTTGGTTATTAAGTGGCCTTAAAGCCGATTGGTCAAGTGACGTGCTGCTTGTGCAGTGGCTTTGCTTATTGAATAAATGTGCCCGGATTTATGCAAATCCCAGCTACAGCAGCTGCCCAGGTGACCAGCTGGCCAGGTGGGCCAGCTGACATTTGCCTCTGCAGCTTCCATTCATATATTTGCACTGGGTCGTGCCTAATCCCGCCATAATTGCTCAACATTCGTTATCTAAATAGTGACTGTTGCAGTGACAGCGACAGCAGCAGCAACAACAACAACAACAACAACAGCAAATGGCGCTGTGACTATGACTACCCTACCAGAGCCTAATTCAGGGATATGTGCAAAGCTGTTGTTATTTATCTTTTGTATTTGCGTTTGCTCTGCACATTAGCGTAATTATTCCTATGTATGTGTGCAGTGTGTGTGTGTGTGTGTCGGAAAACCCGTTGCCAACAACTGTCTAAACATTGGCGTACAAATTCGTAGCTTATCATTTGCTGTGCTTATTGACTTTGGCATCCATTGCCAGAATTATGGTTTACAGTTATTCAATTGCCGTCGCCCAAATGATGAATTATAATTTAATTACGTAAATTATGAGCTTCGTTTGTTACATATATAAATAACATTATTCCTATGTGTTTCTCATTCAAATTTAATCGAGCCAAATATTTCAATTAAAATATTTTCCATATAACTGTTATTTTGGGAACTCATTTACAGCCATAGAAATATCTTTTTCGATGCACTTCTTCAACTAATCCTCTAGCTTGGCTCTTCCAAACAAATGAAACTAGCTGGCAGTGGCAAACGTTTCGAATCTAGAAGGAAAATGAAACTGAACTAGTTAAGCGTTTCGATTGTGTATCAATTAGCGGACATTTAAAAATTCTCTGTGTGTGTTTGCCCGGCGCATTAGCACGAATAGATGTTGTTCCGGCTCCAAAGTGCCCCCCTGGCCAACCAGCGATGCCCGCTCACCCGCTCTGGGTCTGGGTCTGGGTGAAACCGAAAAAGTGACCCAGATTTCGTTTCGTTTTTTCTGTCTGCGTGGCTGTTCTGTGTGTGTGTGGTGGGCGGGAGGCAGGAGGCGGGAGGCGGGGAATCGTTGCTGACAAATTGAAATCATGACATTAACCTCGACGTCACACACACACACACAAGTCGAATGACACATACGTCTACATGGGCAAATCGGAGAGATTGTTGCATACTTTCAGGCATAAAATTTATGCACAGCCCTTGATCTATACAGACAGCTATACATATGTATGCTGCTGGTGTATGTGTGTGTGCGTGTGTGTGTGCGTGTGTTTGGTAATATGAAATCAATAAATCGTAAGCATTCTTTTATTGCGCATCCTGCCAGACTAGAACACAAGACGGAGCGAAGCCTCCTTGTTGATTTTGTTGGTGTTTTCTTTTCTTGGTCGTTGTTGTTCGCTATATACATATATTTTATTTACTTTATATGATTTTTTATAAAGGATAAAGATGGCTACGCCAAGCACCGCCAAGGACCGCCAAGGACGCCAAGCACAGTTGCTGCCAAGCTCGGGCTAAGCGAGCCCTTGCGCTTTGTGAGTTTATCAACGCAGAACCACTCGACAATCACGATGTCTGCTGTCAGTGGGTCAGCGGTGGGGCAGGGGCGGAACAGCGACTCACTCGACTTTATATTAATTCATATTCTGCTTTTCGTTGTCCTTGACAAAATGCAGCATTCTTATGAATACTTTCTTTATTGCTGCGCTTTACAAATAAAGTAGACAGGAAATCCGGGCGAAAGCAAAAGTTTGCCAGCAAATATAAATGCCATAGCTTAGCTTATGAATTTCAGAGTAAGTATATATATATATATACATGTATATAGGTACAGAAATATTGGTGGATCAATAGAATATGGACAGCCCCGTATTTATAGGGTATATTAATATATATGTAATAAAATCACTGATCAAGTTGAGGTTAAGGACATTCAGCAGCATTAAGGAATACAAAATAAATTATTTATTATAATTTATAGCTAAATTTAAATAACAAACGCTCAATTCAAATTCTGCGATAGTCTAGAAACGTAGTTTACATACATATACATATATGTGCATCATGATTATATTTAGTTAATCGGTTAGTCATTATGTTAGATGGACACATTTAACCGCTAGGCAATTGATTCGCTCTACATTCGTATGCTAATCCATTTGTGCACGTTAATTAATTATAGGCACATTGGGGAATTCAAAGAGCTTGCCGTTGCCACACACACAAACCTACACACCTGCACACCCACACACTCACACACACACACACATCACACAGAGTAGAATTTTGTCGCTGTATTTATATCTCGTTGACATTGGGACAGTTGGCTCGGCTCGACAGGTCGAGAGGCGAAAGCTCATTATTGCTCATGTAAATTGCATTTCAATCAATGTCCTTGAGCGGAGCGCCTCTATCCTGGCCTCTGTTATAGAGTTGTCTCTTATATAACTTTATTAAGGACTTGCAAACTCAAGATGCGAAGCCCGGAAGGTTCAGTTCTACGAAAAGTTCGTTTGGCAACTGCCATTAAATGTCTGCTGGCAGCTGATGGTTAAAAAAGGATTCGTTTTCTACACATGCTCGAATCGTTTTTATTACTATTTATCAAAAGGAAAATGAAAAAAGGGGCTGGGTAGGGGGAAATCATTAAAAATGCAAGCAAAACACATTCTTTGGCCTCATAAACATCAAATTTGTAAGGCCGAAACATCTGTTAGGCTTTTATTGCGCCTCTACATAAGTATTATGAAATATAGAGAAAGTTTCCCTGATGATACAACCGAGTCCTCACGCCATAATGCAAGTTTAATTTCCAGCTCGACACGCAAAAAAAGGGCTCGATAAATAACGAAACAATATTTTTTATACATATACAATATGTGTATGTAGGTGCGTGTGTGTGTATGTGTCTTATATAAAAGATGTGAATATTTAGTCTGGAAAATGTAAAATTGTTGGCTTGGTGATTTGAGCAGCTGCTGACTGACGCCATTTGTGGGCGGACTGTTGGGGCGCGGCTGTGCTGGCAAGATAAAGTACGCTTCTGTGATAAATATAACAACAAGTACCCAAGGCACGCACAAGCCGTTGTCCAATGGCCCCAACCGGGCCAGATCGGGCAAAACGCATCCAAATTTCATCCAGCCCAACTACCGAGAGCCCAGGGCAGCGGGTTAGACTGGGGACTGCCAGTTAGGAGCCGGAACGGCAGCTGTTATAATGATGCCAACGATACATCATCGCAAAATGCTAAAATTTTTGGCAGCGCCGAGTGCCGAGTGCGCCGTCAACAGCTGTTACCGCTGATGAATCCTTTGGGTCCGGTTCGCTCCCTTGGCTGTCTCCGCTCCTCTGTCCCCCTTCCGTCTTGCGCCTTTCGCCTTCCACTTTCATCCTGCCTGCCTAATATTTCAATATTTCTCACATAAAAGGCATAAGTTATTTTTCATATTTTCCAGCAAAGCAGCCTTACTTTCCCCCCTCCCCTCCCCCACGGCACACTGAGCTGTTGCATTGCTGCGCCCCTTAGCTGCGCTTTTTGGCTAATTTCCCAAAATAAATCTCGAAATTGCAAAATACACAACAACAGGCACATAATTAACTATCATAAAATATGCAAGGCACGCGCTTCAGATTCCAGCTTGGGCCACAGTCCTCTCTTGCGCATTCCTGTTCAAACGTATTTGCCATTTGTTTGCAGTTTTCAAAGTTTTTGGAAATCCCCCATCGCATTCATGTATTCTAGTTGTGCTTCTTTTTTTTATCATACCCTGCTACATATGTCTGAGAGGTTCTATAGAGTTTGATGGGCATTTATGTCAAATATTTATTCGTAAACAAACAAAATACTATATTATATAATTTAATATATATATTTTTCGCAAGGTATATAAAAAATTTAAAAATATAATAAAAATTAAATAAAAGAAACCAAATTGAATTGTCGTCTATTATCGATAAAAGCGAAGTAGCATGAGCTATCGAAAAGAGATATCGATGTTCAATTAGACAGACAGATTCGTCTATACATAGAGGTTGCTCCTCGCTCAGATCAGGAATATACATACGTATACACTTTATTGGGTCTATCACGCCCCCTTCTGCCAGTTACATACATTTTCACAAAATCATTATACACCGATTTTCCATTTTCAAGGGGCTCGGGGTGCAAAAAGACAAAATGGCAAAATGAGAAACCCTGAGCTCGCATAGTGAAGCATTACGCACCACAAGCCAGAAATTCCAAAGCCGCTTAAAACAAAAGGCGTGTGGGCCATAAAGTGGCATTCGTGCTGGAAGGAAAGCCAGATGAACTCTACGGAAAAGAAGAGCGCAAAACAGCACTCAGCTGCTGCCACGGATTACCATAGACAGCGTAGCTCTGGCAGTGCCTAAGCAACCACAACAACTGCCTGCTCAGGAAAGAGTGTTGTTATAATCTTTCTCTCAACTCGTTTCGACAAAAACCAGTTGTTGGTGCTCGACGATATTCAGATAATTGCTTGTTCTTATTTTGTTTTGTATTTAATCAAGCTTTATTTGCGACTAATTACACCTTAATGAATAATTAAATCAAATTTAATATGCCTGAGTTCGGTTAAGCTCAAATTATATAAAAATTGTTAATTTGTTGATTTATAAATTTGATATATATTAGGCATAAATTAAATAAATTGAATTTGAATACTTTAATTCGTTTTATTTTCCAGTTTAAGTTCAAATGTCATAACACATCAATTTAATATTTAGGCAATCCAATCAGCTTTGGAAATCTCACAGCCATGGCGCTTGATTAGAAGGAATTCCACATGCTCCTGGGCAGCATTGTTTGGAAAGACGCAAGAGTCATAAGTCAAAGGCTCTTTGTCACCTTGCACAAGGTCCTCAAACATTTTGACAAGGTTTTTGGATATAATTTCCTCGTCTGCACGCAGAGGCTGTCGCGAGGGACTGTCAAAGAATAGAAAGTAATCATCCCCGTGTCCAGTGCCTACAAGAAGGAAGTATTTGATTAGGGGGAGCAGCTATAGTGAGTCGCAAATGTTTGCTTACCGACTACAATATCGTCTCGCCTGGCCAGCAGAGTCGCCCTGCCACGAGTCGCGGGATTGTCGTAGACATAGTAGTAGATGGGACTCTTGCTGTGCTTGCGATGCAGATCTATGGATCGTATCGAATCATTCCTGAATAGCGCATCGGTGAATATTCGCTGCACGTCCATGTAGTTCTCCACGCTGAAGTTCCGATTGCCCAGGTACTGCTGTCGCAGATCGCGTGAGTAGTCGTCCATTTGCTCTATTGTCTTGCTAGAGTCTCGGTAAAAGAATAAGTGGGGCGCCAGCTCGTACCAGCGCTTGTTGAGCTCCTCGATGAACTCCCTCCCATTGGGCTGCTTTGCTAGGAAAATGGCTGCATTGTAGGAGCCATCCTCTTGGGTATGTGAGATGAGCCAGGGAACTTGCGAAAACTGTCCACTCTTGATGATGTCAACGGGATTTTGAGTCAGAAACGGCTCGGCCGCATCGACTGGCTCTATCACGGGGCCGAATGGAGCGAAGGGCACGTAGTCAAATACCAAGAAGTCCCGTACGGCCGTCACAATTTCCGAGGCATCCTTCCTCTTCAGGCACTTTTTCAGCTCCAGCGAGTCTTCGAGCAGACCGCAGCCCACGATGCGACCCATTTCAAAGGCCCGTCGACGTCCACCTTGCTGCACCGTAGACGGCATTAGGGCAGTTCCACTTATTAGGGCGGCCGCCTTTGCGAGCTGCTGAAAGTCCTGCTTCAGTAGGTGCAGATGCACCGAGGCTGCTCCAGCCGAGAAGCCGACTACGAGAACATTTTCCGGCTGCCCACCGAAGCGCGCAATGTTCTCCCTGATCCACTGCAATGCCAGCCACTGGTCCTTCAAGCCAAGGTTGCCTGGCAGAGCGCTGTCGCCGCTGCTGATGAAGCCCAGTGGGCCCAAACGATAGGTGATCTTCACCACAATCACGTTTCCGCTGGCCATGAATGCCTCGTGGCCGCTCCCAGCTGGACCGCCGAACATGAAGGCGCCGCCGTGAATGTTGACGACAACAGGAAATGAGCTGCGACTGCTGTTCTTTGGCCTATACACGTTGACTGTCAGACAATCCTCGACGCCCGTCAGTTTGTCCTCTTGATCAGTGTACTGGTTCCACTGTATGCACTCGACAGGGGGTCGGGTGGCATCGAACGTTTCCTTCCATTGCTGGGCGTAGCGTTGCGGTGCCTCAAAGCGCAGCTCCCCGACAGGTGGCTCTGCATAGGGTATGGACTCGTAGCTGTAGTAGCCTTTGTTGTCGCGTCCGCGTAGCTTCCCATTGGGCAGCTCCACTAAGAGTGGATCGGCAACGGCCGCCGCTGCTGCACAGAGCCAGAACAACAAAATTCGTATGGCGTTATCTCCCATGACCTTTACTCTCTCAACACTGAATGTGCACTGTGCCAATCGCAGATCGGCAGCATTTGTTTTATTTCGATTCTCGCAAATATTATTGCTCCGTTGATAGCCCCTAATTATGTGGACTCTGTTAACGTTTCAAGTGCTGATAATAAATATCATTTCAAGTAATAAACAGAACCGGTTTACTCTAAAGCAGCAAAAATTTGCATCTCATCGACAAACAACAAACATAACATATATAGAGAATACATATACAGATAGAATTTAAATATTTTATAAATATTTTTTATTATTTTTTTAAATTTATATACAGTATAGAATATATTTATAATCTAAATTATTTACTCTTATTATTATTATTTTAATATTATTATTTTATATTTATTTTATTGTTAGCTATACTTGTATATGTTCAGAATTACTGCGAGGCATGTGAAGCAGCTCTCTATCTCTACCCACATTATCTCGGAACACGCAATTATCATAGGTCAACATGCTTATTAAATTAGTGTAGATTCAATTTTAGATTTTGCTCAGATCGAGCTTAGAAAATAATCATCGGAATAAACATAGAAATTTTTGTTGCATGCAGAACTCATCATAATCATATTTATGTGAATAATCAAAGACTAATTTCATGGCCAAGGAAACCATGGTAGCTCGCAGCAGTAGGATGCGGTATTTTTGTTAGTTTTTTTCAATGAATCGCAGTTATATAATTGCCTATATCGGCGTTATTTCTAGTGCCTCGCAGCTGTTGTTCCTAATCAAAACATAGTGCAGCTGCTTCTGGCCAATATTGTTGGGAAAATCGCAATTGTCATAGGTCAAAGCGCCAGTGTCACTGTAGGCAAAGCCCTCCAGCATGCTTAGAAAATGATTGGAAATGATCTTCTTATCAGCTCTGGGTCGACTAATTGTCTTGTCGAACATCAGAGCGTAATCATCCCCATGTACTGTGCCTATACGTAAATAGTTGTAAATTAGTCACGGAATAGCTAATATATATAATATAATAAATAATATATATAATAATAAATATTTCTGTGCTGGAATCTTACCAAAATGAATATCATCCCGGCTGGACAATTGGTGTGCAATGCCTCGTTCAGCTGGATTATCGTAGACGTAGTAGTAAATGGGACTCCCTCTATGCTGCCGCTGCAGATCTATGGTTCGTAGAGTTTCGTTTATGAAGAACATGTCCGTGAATAATCGCTGTACCAGCAGGTAGTTCTCCACGCTGAACTTCTGATTGCCCAGGTACCGCTGTCGCAGATCGCGGGAGTAGTCGTCCATTTCGTCAATAGTCTTCATAGAGTTGCGATAGAAGAGGAAGTGGGGTGCTAATTCGTACCAGCGATTATTGAGTTGGTGGATCAGCTCCCTTCCATTGGGCTGCTTAATCAGGAGAGCAGCTGCGTTGTAGCCACCATCTTCCTTTGTATGAGACACGAGCCATGGAACTTGGGCAAATTTTCCACTCTTTATGATGTCAATGGGATACTGAGTGAGAAAAGGCTCTGGAGCATCGACTGGCTCTACTACCGGCCCAAACGGATTAACCGGCACATAGTCGACGAGGAAGTACCGACGCACAGCTCTGACTATCTCCGAGGCATTCTTGGACTGTAGGCACTTTTTCAGCTCCAGCGAGTCTTCGAGCAGGCCGCATCCCACAATGCGTCCCATTTCGAAGGTGCGCCGATGCGCTCCTTGCTGCACCACCCAGGGGTCCAGGGCATTTCCACTGAGTGACACAGCGACCTTTGCCAACTGGCTGAAGTCCTCCTGCAGCAACTGTAGGTGTACCGAAGCACCGCCGGCTGAGTGACCAAGCACTAGAATATTCTCTGGCTCTCCACCAAAGCGAGCAATGTTTTGCTTGATCCAGCGCAGCGCCAAGCGCTGATCCTTGAGTCCAAAGTTTCCCGACAATGAGGCGTCGCCTGTGCTCAGGAAACCCATCGGACCCAGTCGATATGCAATAGTCACCACAATCATATTGCCTCTGGCCATAATCGGTTCGTGACTCTGCTCAACGGGTGCACCAAACATGAAGATGCCGCCATGAATGTTCGCTATAACCGGAAACGAACTGCGGCTCGAGTTCTTTGGCTTGTACACGCTCACAGTTAGACAGTCCTCGACGCCCACTAGCTTATCTGCACCCTCGACAGCCTGACTCCATTGCATGCAGTAGGCGGGAGGCGTGGTTGCATTAAATACACTGTCCCACCGGCGAGCGTATGGCTGGGGTGGCTCGAATCGTAGCTGACCAAGAGGTGGCTCTGCATACGGTATCGACTCGTAGCTGTAATAACCCTCGTTATCGCGGCCACGTAGCTTCCCATTGAGCAGCTCTACCAGCAGCGGATCTGTGGCGACTTTGGCAACTGAGCCGATCAGCAGTGGAACGAGGAAGTATTCTACAATGTTCATGATTTGCACCAAACCAAATACCGAGGCGAACTATAAGTTGCTCAGAAAATGTGCCTTCTTTTATAGACTGCATTTCCACATGACCTACGACAAATTTGACGTCCAATTAGTCACACTCTGAACTGAGAGATCTCGCTTATACGACAGCCATTATATAAGGCATGCAGTCAGTAAATTAGCGAGTTCATTGCAGTCGTGCGCAACTCATTCCCATTCACAACTCGCGGCCATTATCTATATAATTGTTTATCAACAGAGGTGATCAACGTCAGTGATCCGCATTTGAAATCTTGTGATGTTTGCTGCTCAAATGAAAATTAATTTATTATTAAATATCTTTCATATATGAATTGAAATAGTTATTTTATCTTCTATATAATTGCACAAAAATCTCTTTATATACATATATATCTCTCTTAATATAACTTCGCTAACTAATTGGATCTAGGTTCAGGACTTCACAGCTGTTGCTCTTAATTAAAATAAATTGCAGCTGCTCCTGGTCAATATTATTGGGAAATACACAATTGTCATACGTCAAGGCGCCGCTGTCGCTTTGAGCGAAGTCTTCCAGCAGGCGAATAAAATTCTTGGAGATTATCTTCTCGTCAGGGCGGGGTCGAGTGACGGCCTTCTCAAATACCAGAGCATAATCATCGCCATGGCCTGTGCCTATAAGCATACAAATTGATATCATTCAAGATATGCTCCATAAATAATCAATGAAGTGGATCATACCAAAAGAAAAGTCATCTCGTTGGGACAAAACTTGAGCGCTGCCCCGAGATGTTGGATTATCGTAGACGTAGCCATAAACGGGACTCGTGCCATGCTTGCGATGCAGATCTACGGATCGTAGGGTGTCGTTCCTGAACAGTATATCTGTGAATATGCGCTGCACGTCCAGGTAGCTCTCCGCGCTGAAGTTGCGGTTGCCCAGGTACTGCTGTCGCAGATCGCGTGAGAAGTCGTCCATTTCGTCGATAGTCTTCTTAGAGTCACGATAGAAGAGGAAGTGGGGCGCCAGCTCGTACCAGCGGCTGTTGAGCTCCTCAATGAACTCTGCGCCGTTGAGCTGCTTGGCCATCAAGAGAGCAGCGTTGTAGGTGCCATCTTCCTGGGTGTAGGTGGTTAGCCAGGGCACTTGGGCGAACTTTCCACTCTTGATTATCTCAATAGGGTGCTGAGTAATGAAGGGCTCCGCTGCATCCTCGCTCTCCACCACCGGTGCAAATGGAGCAAAGGGCACATAGTCATAGACGAGGAACTGACGCACAGCTCGGACTATCTCTGAGGCATCCTTGGACTGTAGACACTTTTTGAGCTCCACAGAGTCACTTAGCAAGCCGCATCCCACGATGCGACCCATTTCGAAGGCGCGTCGACGCGCTCCTTGCTGCACCACCCAGGGGTCCAGGGCATTTCCACTAAGTGCTACGGCCACCTTTGCCAACTGGCTGAAGTCCTCCTGCAGCAACTGTAGGTGTACCGAAGCACCGCCGGCTGAGTGACCAAGCACTAGAATATTCTCTGGCTCTCCACCAAAGCGAGCAATGTTTTGCTTGATCCAGCGCAGCGCCAAGCGCTGATCCTTGAGTCCAAAGTTTCCCGACAATGAGGCGTCGCCTGTGCTCAGGAAACCCATCGGACCCAGTCGATAGGTGATCTTAACGACAATCAGATTTCCACTGGCCATCACCGGCTCATGACCATGTTCCACGGGTGCACCGAACATGAAGGCGCCGCCGTGGATGTTGACGAGAACCGGAAACGAGCTGCGACTCGAGTTCTTGGGCTTGTACACGCTCACAGTTAGACAGTCCTCGACGCCCACTAGCTTATCTGCGCCCTCGGCAAACTGATTCCACTGCATGCAGTAGGCGGGCGGCGAGGTAGCGTCAAACACTTCGCTCCACTGCTGAGCATAGGGCTGAGGTGCCTCGAAGCGCAGCTCGCCCACAGGTGGCTCCGCATAGGGTATCGACTCGTAGCTGTAGTAGCCTTCGTTATCGCGACCGCGAACTTTTCCATTTGGCAGCTCGACTATCAGTGGATCGGCAGCAGCTTCAGCTGCCACTGTCGTTGCCGCTGCTAGACAAATCAAAGCGATCGAGCATATGCGCGACATTTTGATTCTCACAGCACCGAGTCTTGATTCACACTAGTCTCGCCTTGGGCGAGCTGAGCTTTATATGCATGCGATTGAGATTAGTTCTCAATTGATTCTCTCGCATGCCACAAATGAAACTATGTGAATATGAAACATGAGACTCGCTCTATCATTGGCGAATCGATGCGAGAGTTGATTGCAAACGCATTGCTGAATAACGAGACTGCTCTGGCTGTGATTGACATATCGAGGGTAATGTTTGCTCAGTCTATTTACAGACTCACAAACTAATTGAGCATAGTTCGAGATAAATATACATATTATTAAAACGAATTGCTGCGTATATAAATACTAGTTATTATATGAATTATTTGATAATATACTCTAGCTCGTGTTAAAGCAATTAATAAATTCTAAATTTAGGTTTGTCATGCTATCAGATGAATATGAAAGCAGAATGAAAAATAAAATAAATAAACAGAGACCATTTCAGTTTCATAACTTGCTTGCTTACGTGATTTTATGTATTTAGATTTATTTATTTTATTTTTAATTTATTTGTAGTATTTATTATCATTAAATTTACCTCTTAATTTCTTATTATCTATTGATTTTATTATTATTATTATTCAATTTATGTATTTAGATTTATTTATTTTATTATTAATTTATTTGTTTTATTTGTATTATTTATTATTTATTATTTAATTTACCTCTTACTTTTCTTGTTATCTATTGATTTTATTATTATTATTATTCAATTTATGTATTTCGATTTATTTATTTTATTATTGATTTATTTGTTTTATTTGTATTATTTATTATTATTTAATTTACTGCTTACTTTTCTTGTTATTTATTATTATTATTATTATTATTATTATTATTCAATTTATGTATTTAGATTTATTTATTTTATTATTAATTTATTTGTATTATTTATTATTATTTTATTTACTTCTTACTTTTCTTGTTATCTATCTTATTTTATTTATATTTTTTATTGGCCATATAACTCTTAAAAACATCATATTTATTCGTATTACTTTCGCAGTTTAAATCACATGCAATCAATATTTTATTTTCCTAATAGACTAATCTTGATGCCATTCCACTCGATGCTCTGTCCAAAAAGTTATTTTGATGTGGTATGCTCACTGTAAAATTTGCAATTAATACTCGATTAAAAGTAAAAGATCTCTGTTTTTGTTTGCTTGCTTTTATTTATTGGCCCAACCAGCTACTATTTATTTACTGTGGCATATCCCCAGTTGATACGTGAAATGCTCTACAATTTGTTATGTAGGTATGATTGGAATTTTGGGCTTATGGTCGGAGACAGCGTCGGGCAGGCGGTCTGCTTGAAGGTTCGTGCACTTGGTGCGCTGAATAACTACCACCTCGAAGTGCTTCTTGCCCACGTTGTCCTGGAAGACGCAGTTGTCATAGACAAACTGACCCGTTTCGAGAAAGCCTTCGACCATCTTGACTAACTTCCAGGAGATGAGCTTCTCGTCAGCGCGGAGCGGTTCGCGGATGTTATTATTCATCATCAGGAAATAGTCGTCACCATGAGCCGTGCCTGCGAATTGATAGATTGGCATTAGCTGCTATAGTTGGCTGGGAATTCGAAACAAATATATTACCTAGCACTAAATCAGTGCGTCCTGCTATGAGTTGGCCAATGGATTGAGTAGCCGGATTGTCGTAGATGTACGTGTAGACGGGACTCTTTCCATACGTGCGCTGAAGATCAACTCCGAGCTCGAAGCTATTCTTGAACATCTCGTTGGTGAACATGCGTTGCACATCGAAATAGTTTTCCAAGGTGAAGTTGCGAGTGCCCAGATACTGCAGCTTAAGCCTCCGGGAGCGCGCGTCCCTCTCTCGTTTGTTTAGGGTGTTGCGGTACGAGAAGAAGTACGGCGCCAGCTCATACCACTGCGAGTTCAGCTCAAAGAGTCTCTCCTTGCCCGTTTCCGCCAGCTTGGTCAGCAGCAGTGCAGCATTGTAGATGCCCTCGTCCTGGCAATAGGCCATTAGCCAGGGAATTTGAGCGAATTTGCCGCTCTTGATGATGTCGATGGGCATCTTGGTGATGAAGGGATCCACCGTATCTTCGGGCTCCAGGACAGGTGAGAACGGAGCAAAGGGGACATAGTTGAAGAGGAGGAAGTTCTTAAAGGCTCTCACTAAATCAATCCCATTCACGGCCTTCAAGCATTCTTTCAGAACCGCTGTACTGCGAGGAGTGCCGCAGCCAAAGAGCCGGCCCAACTCATATGTCTGCTCACGGGGACTCGGCTGCACTGCCCACGGCGCCACTGAGTTGCCACCCAATGAATAGACTCCCTTTATGTCGGCCATATCCTCGTGTAGCATCTGAAAATGAACTGAGGCAGCTCCCGACGAGAATCCAAGGAGCAATATGTTTGTGGGATCTCCGCCGAAAAACGAAATGTATTTCTTGATCCACTGGAGGGCCAAACGCTGATCCTTGAGCGCATAGTTGCCCGACCAGTGGGCATCGCCGGTGCTCGCAAAGCCCAGAATTCCCACGCGATGGTTAATCTTCGCAACGATCACATTTCCGCTCTCCATGAACTCCCTGGCACCGTCTTGGACCGATCCACCGAACGACCAGGCACCGCCAAATATATTTACCACTACCGGGAAACTGAGGCGCGAGGCGTTCTTCGGCTTGAAAATGCTAACGGTCAGACAGTCCTCGCTGCCCGTCAGCTGATCGGGCGTCGTGACGAAGTGACTCCACTGCAGGCACTCCACCGCCGGCTTTGTAGCATCGAAAGTCTCACGCCATTCGCCAATAAAGGGCTGAGGCGGCTCGAAGCGCAGCGGACCAACGGGCGGCAGGGCGTACGGAATCGACTCGAAGGTGTAATAGGTTCCGCGGTCGCGTCCACGCACTGTCCCGAACGGCAACTGAACCAGAAGGTCATCACCAAGTGCGGCTGTTGTGCACAGGCACGCGATCAGAAATATTGTATTCTTCATGGTTTACTCAACACGGGACCACAAGTTAAACGAACAGCAAGTCTGGTTGACGGAATGCTTTTGTGGGGAACCTTCAGACATTGCGGCCTTTTAAACACTTTCGATGGGTCCAATTTCATTCAGCTGACAGAGAAGCGATAAAAATGCTCATAAAAATATGATCTTTCTCCTATAGGGGCAATGTAATTCCAGGGTGCTCTACGAGAGACTTTTGACCAGCCATAAAATCTATAGCAAATCGATGTCAATTAAAATAAATAATTTATATGCAAAACAAATTTACCAAAAACCTTTTCTGATTGCTATATATTTCTTATATACTCTGCCGACATAGTATATACTATTAATAAAACAGTTCTATGGGTTTTAGACGTATAATATTGTAGATGTATATACTTTTGATATTGTGTAGTCAATGTGAATACATATACCAAATTTCAAGTCTCTAGCAAAATAATATCGTTTCCCTTATTCCAAATTCAGTAGTCTTCGATGTTTCATCCACGAAATAAAATCTTGAGACATTTGAAACAATGATTTCAATACTCACTGTCTGTCTGTCTGTCCGTCTTGTATATTATCGTTTTGCTAAGATGTCAGATACAATATTAGACTAAGACGCCCATCAGGCTGATGATTCTACTTAAACGATAGTTAAAGATACAGCTCATGGCTTTTAATTGGCATTAAATATCGATATAGGAAAGAAAAAAGTTTGTTTGGAGTTTGTTTAATAATTTATTTACCAAAAAAAATACCAACTCGACTCATCATCTCATCTCATCGACTCATTGATTGTCTAATTTATTCACAGGCTTATCAATATCGAATTAGGATTTCACTATTGGAGATGGTGGCAAATGGTCAGACACGGTCTCCGGCAAGTGTCTCGCCTCCTGAACCTCGCAATGAGTGCGCTTGATGACCACCAACTGGAACTGCTTTTGGCCCCGGTTGTCTGGGAATGCGCAATTATCATAGGCCAGCTTCCTGCTCTGGGCGAACTCTTCGACCATCTTGACGAGCTTCCAAGAGACCAGTTTCTCATCCGCTCGCAGTGCTCCACGCATCGGCTGGTTCATCAACAGATAGTAATCGTCGCCCAAGCCCGTGCCTGTGAATAGTTTTATAGATATATAAGCTACTGCTTCTATTTGGCTTCTTCAATAAATACTCAACCCATGAAGATGTCTATTCGCTTCGCAAGCAAGTGACCCACTGATTTGTCAGCTGGATTATCGTAGACATAGGCATAGACAGGACTGCTTCCATGCTTCCGGTGCGCGTCTAGGGCCTCCTCGATGCCGTTCCTGAAGATTTCATTTGTGAACATGCGCTGCACGTCGAAATAGTTCTCCACACTGAAGTTCCTATGGCCGAGGTACTGCAGCTTTAGTTTGCGAGAATGAATGTTTCGCTGCAATTTATTCATGTCGTTGGGGTAGTAAAAAAAGTGCGGAGCCAGCTCATTCCAGCGAGAGTTCAGCTCATAAATTAATTCCTTTCCACTCCTATCCTTTTCCAGCAGCATTGCAGTGTTGTAGATGCCATTCTGCGTGGTGTAGCTGGCCAACCAAGGCACCTGGGCCGCGCCTCCCCTCTTGATGGTCTCAAGGGGGGATTCGGTGAGGAATGGATATTCCAAGTCGGGGGACTCGATAACTGGCCTAAAGACTGCAGATGGTATAAACTCAAAGACTTGCAATTTCTGAACGGCACTAGCGATCTCATGGCCCATTGTTCTCTTGAAGCATTCCTTCAGTTCAAACGAGGACTTTGTTCTTTTACAGCCCAGGACTTTGGCGAACCGAAATGCATCCTCACGTCCACTACTTTGCACGGCAAAGGCAGACGTGGCTGCTCCACTAATGGAAATGGCGCCCTTGACATACGTCTCCATATCCTTGTGCATTAGCTGCAGATGTACTGCAGCGCCTCCTGCGCCAAAGCCAAGAAGAATTATGTTCTCTGGATCTCCGCCGAATCGATCGATATTCTGCTTAATCCATTGGATCGCGAGGCGCTGATCCTTGAGTCCGTAGTTACCAGGAAGTACGTTGTCGCCGGTGCTCAGAAACCCAAGCGGACCCACTCTATAGTTGATCTTCACCACGATTACATTGCCACTGTCCATGAAGTGCTCAGGGCCGTCGTCGAGAGAACTGCCGAAGGTCCACGCTCCCCCGAAAATACTTGCGACGACCGGAAAACTCTGCCGAGAAGCGTTCTTGGGCTTGAAAATGCTGACGGTCAGACAGTCCTCGCTGCCCGTCAACTTGTCCGGCTGATCGATCCATTGACTCCATTGCAGACACTCAGTCGCCGGCGTGGTGGCATCAAAGGTCTGTGTCCATCTGTCAGTAAATGGGAGTGGATCCTCTAGGCGCAGGTCGTTGATGGGCGGCTGTGCATAGGGTATCGACTCGTAGCTGTAGTAAATGCCGTTGTCGCTCCCACGTAGCTCTCCATTTGGCAGCTCGACGAGGAGCGGATCACTTGAGGCAGATGGTGAGCATGCCGAAAGCAAAACGATTGCCAAGGCGAATGTGTTCATGGTGTGCTCCAAGTCCAACTGTTTTAACAAAAGTCTATCAATGCCTATTTATTCGCACATGGGCAGCAGCGCGAAATCGGATTCGTTCCCATGGCTTACTCCATGGAAGTAAAAAGCATAAAGGGCAAAGGCCCGGGCACTCTGTTTACGAGCAGCTGCCTTATATTATATTATTTAAATTTCTAAAGCTACGACTTTTAAATGCTCTTTTGATTATGAGTGCATGAAGCTAGCTAGAAGCTAAGCCAATTATAATCTCAGTGCAAAGAACAGCTATTAGAAGATTTAGTTACTTGAACCCGGATCCATAGATATACTGGATATGTAATTCTCTAAATTGCTTTCAGCAAATAATTTATCCTAAGCCACCTTTAACTCAATATAACCCAATGATTTACTGTAGGTCTTATATTTTTGCCATTCTTAATTGCAGGCAAAGATTATAAATTAGATATCTAGCAAAGAAAATATGTGTTTCCTACTTTTAATATTTCTCTTGATTTATTTTCGATAAATAAATTATCCATAAATGTGAAGCTCTAAATGATTTCATGTTTAGTTTTTCCTTAAACATATATTCAATATTCTCATGGCGATAAATAATAATAAAAACAGAAGTGCTTAATACGAGATTAAAGGGGATCGTGGTAGATTTTTGGAGACTATATCAGGTAAATACTTCGCTTCCATGACTTTGCAGTAGGTGCGCTTGATGGCCACCAGCTGGAAGTGCCTTTTGCCCCGATTGTCCGGAAACACGCAGTTCATATAGGAAAAGTTTCCGCCTTGGGCAAACTGCTCCACCATCTTGACTAGCCTAGCCGAGGTAATCTTCTCGTCAACTCTCAGAGGATTGCGCACTGGATTGCTGAACATTAAATAGTAATCGTCGCCCATGCCCGTGCCTGTGATTGAAAATTATGGGTTATTTGCTTGAGACATTGCATACACAGTTTACCCAGGAACAGATTTTTCCTCCTCGATAGTAACTGGGCGAATGACTTTTGAGCAGGGTTGTCGTACACATATGCATAAACGGGACTGTCGCCATACTTTCGATGTGCGTCTAATGCCACCTCAACGCCATTCTTATATAGCTCGTTGGTGAACATGCGCTGCACGTCGAAATAGTTCTCCACGCTGAAGTTCCTATAGCCAAGGTACTGCTGCTTGAGTTTGCGGGAATGATTGTCCCTCTCAGATCGTTTCCAAAAGTAAGGATACGAGAAGAAGTACGGGGCCAGCTCATTCCAGCGAGATTTTAGCTCCTCTATTTTCGCTCTGCCATTGGAGCTCCTTTTCAGCAAGAGGGCGGCGTTGTATATGCCATTCTCCGTGGTGTAGCTGGCCAACCACGGCACCTGGGCAGACCTTCCACTCCTGATGGTCTCGATTGGAAATTCGGTGAGGAATGGCTTACGCGAATCCGTCGACTCGATGACTGGACTAAATGCGCCAAAATTGACGTATTCAAAGACTTGCAGATATTTTATACCCCTAACTAAACGGTCCGCTGGCATTTCCTTCAGGCACTCCTTCAGTTTAGTTGATGATTTGAGCTTGTCGCAGCCCAACTTTTTGGCATATTGGAATGCCAGCTCTTGCCCGCCGGACTGCACAGCAAAGGGAGATGTGGCCGTGCCACTAATGGAGATGCCGCCCTTGACCAACCTCTCCATATCCTTGTGCATTAGCTGCAGATGGACTGACGAACCGCCTGTGCCGAAACCAAGAAGAATGATGTTTTCTGGATCTCCGCCGAATCGATCGATATTCTGCTTAATCCATTGGATTGCGAGGCGCTGATCCTTGAGGCCGTAGTTACCAGGAAGTACGTTGTCGCCGGTGCTCAGAAAGCCAAGCGGACCCACTCTATAGTTGATCTTCACCACGATTACATTACCTCTGCGCATGAAGTGCTCAACTCCGTCATCGAGCGAGCTGCCAAAGGTCCACGCTCCTCCGAATATATTCGCCACGACCGGAAGAGCGATGAGACTGGGCTTCTTGGGCTTGTAGACACTGACAGTCAGGCAGTCCTCGCTGCCCGTCAGTTTATCGGACACTTTGATAGACTGGCTCCATTGCAGACATTCAGTCGGCGGCCTGCTGGCATCAAAGGTCTGCTCCCATCGCTCGGTATATGGAACTGGATCCTCCAGGCGCAGGTCGTCGATGGGCGGCTGCGCGTAGGGTATCGACTCGTAGCTGTAATATATGCCATTGTCCCGTCCACGTAGCTTTCCATTTGGCAGCTCGACGAGGAGCGCTGCGTGTGAGCTCGCTGCTGTGGAGGCCAAGACCAAAACGGCTGCCCAAGTTAAAGTATTCATAACAAAGTAGATGTACCAGTTGGAGCTCCAACTCCGACTGTTGCCACCAGAGAGAATCATTGCCTTTTATGATAATTGCGAACCTTAATTTATTCGCTCACATTAGCAACTGCAGAAAATCCGATTGGTTCCAGCTGCCTCTGTCTCGAAATTGCACAATTTAAGGCCTTGACATTTGAGGTCAGAGGCTATTTGATGGTAGATCGCTTAATATGTGTTTGTTAATCTTTATTTAATATGAAAACAAAAGCTTGAAAATTATCGGAATGATATAATATCATATATTGTATATTGTATAATTGAATAATAATAATAACAATTTTAATTGACTATAAGCGAGTCCAGATTTCCCTAGATTAAACAGTGGCTAACAAATTTATGATGGTGAAGACTAAGGGTAAGGAGAGAGCAGTAAAACAATATATTCTTTTCCCTTTGCCAAGGGGTAATAATAAGCTCAGGGTTTGCTGCTTCAACGTCAACAGCCCGAGTGACTCCGGCCGCTGATAAAAGCTTCATTAATCCCATAGAATGCCCCGGGGCTCCAGCTAGTATCATCAGCAACTGGGGAGCAGTCAATGGCCAAGTCCCAGACAAATAAGCGATGCCATTATCAACGTTCTAATCAGCGATGAAGCAGATTATGATGCTGATGGGACACATGAGTGGAGAGGGGGCCGAGAAGGGCAACACACATGTCAGCTGATGAACTGCGCGCGTGTGTGTGTGTGTGTGTATATAAATGAATTAGTTGGCATTAAGTATACGCCGCAGTGTACGCAAAAGCTAAGCAAGCATGATTTAAGAAATATGCTCCAGACTTGTGACTGCTGCTCATTTGCAGGGTCCGAGGAGTGGACAGGGCTGTGGGGAGGAGGATGCCTATTATGTGCGCTGCCTTGATACTGCTACAGCTCGCTGTGTGAAGCATGGAATATTAATTCCTTAAGTAATTCACAACATTTGTAACTAATGTTTGTTAATGAGCCACCCAGCCAACCACCAGCACCGCCACCTAACCTGGCTCGCACTGACTCTGTAAGCTCTCTCTTTGACTAACTGCCAAGCGTTGGCTGAGGTCAAGGCGGCGCCTCAAGTTGAATTACTTCTGCGTTTGGCGCCCTAAATGCAAGCATTACCAAGTGTAAAAGCGAGAAAGCCCAACTGGACTTCGCTCCACCCCCTGCTCCTGCTCAGCCTACTCTTACCACCACAACTGAGGACGACCCTGTGCCGAGTGTTCGGCAGACACTTAATGAAATAATTATGTAAAAGCCAACTGGCTGCCGCAATGCCACCTTTTTGGCCAACGACATGGTTTTCACATTCATTAATTTCCCGCCCAATGCAGTTTACGGCTGTAGTATAATTATTTATTAAGCCACAGATTGCTGGCAATACCATTTAGTGTTTACCAGCATTATAGACCTTAAATTAACAAGTCTTTGCTCAGCCCCAATGCATTGAGGTCAATCATAATTTCGACTCGACTAGGGCCAACACTTGAGCTGGAATTTGTTGCAATTCAAGGAGATGTTGATAGAGAGAGAGTGATAAGTGTTGTACTCATTATATATATGATAATATATAATACTTTATATGTTATATGCAATCATGTCTGATGTGTAAGTATGCATTAAATTACTTTGTGCCTTATAGGTTGCTTTATCAGCGTGTTTAATGCATATTGATAGCTTTGCGCTTCTGGGAATAAGAAAGAGACTTTGCCAAGTACATTTCATGTATATGGCTGTACATGCTGAGCAGTTGACACAAAACTGTCGCAGCGCCAATTTGGGCGGCAGCTAAACGTGTTTATGCGGCACTGCGGAGGGCTTATAAAATGCAACTTTGACACAAATGCGACGCTAATCAGGGAGACAACACCCACGCAGCCTCTAGTAATGCCACCACGGCAGCGAGCTTGTCGCTGGGCCATAAAATATGCAACAAAACGTACAAAAAATGCCACTAACAAGCGGCATGAGGCAGGGATAGAAAGAAGACTCAGAAGAGAGAGGGAGAGTGTTAGAGTATAGAGAGAGAGAGAGAGAGAGAGAGAGAGAGTAGAGGGGACTGCATGTAAAATAATTTGAAAACACGGCATTTGCGTAATGAAGCATGTGAAAAGCGCCAGGCGAAGCTGCTGAGAGCTGGTGAAAAGCGCTCATAAATGCCAGAAGTTATGCAAGTCCTTAACTTTTATAAGCAGCGGAGTCTGAGGCGCGGTGCCCGCCTGCAAATAGACTACGACTACAGGTGCAAGTGGCGTATCACACATGTTTGCCGTGTGGAGTGCGGGGAGTGCAGCGCGCGAGTTTCGCTGTGCTGCAGTGGCTGCGGTTCAGCTGACACAAATGTGCGAATTCTCCCACCAACTTTAGGTGGAAGAAGAAGGAGACTGCTCGACTACGAGTTATACTCGACTCTCCCAACTAGAAGAGCTGATTTTTCACTCTGGGTTTCTCTTATGAATGTATTACATGAGTACAAATTTAAGCATGCTCTGCAGACTGAGCTCCTACTACGTTTGGTATACACAATTAAACATTTCATATATACTTTAGGTCTTTAGTTTTTGTGAGATATCTGTGTGTATAGCTCACATTTCGACCCATCACACTGATCTAGAATATATCTGCTGTATGAGATCTGCCACGCCTGCTGTAAGCCATTATACCCCGATTTATCCCACTTTCAGCGAGTTTAGGGTATAAAAAGACGAGAAAACGTAAAAAATTGTCACTTGCGGCGACGGGCGAGGCGCTTGTCGTCTGGGCCAAAGACTGGCATTCGCATTCAGTGCGTAATCTTCACCTTTTTCACAGCTTTGCCATGCACTTTTATTGCATGCTTGCAGGCGTCTTCCCCGCAACACTTGCCGCTTGTATCGGCAAAAGTTGTGCCTTGAATTTGCCACTTTATGCCACGTAGCTAGCACCAAATCCGAAAACCCAGCTAGCTCACCTGCCTGCTGCTGCACGGTGGCTCCAATGCAGAAATTCCGGGCTGAGAAATCACAGCTAAACAGCATTGAAAAAAAAAATGAGTAAAGACAGAACAGTTGTAAATATATAATAAATATATATGGAAACATAATGAAAATATAGTGAATATATAAATATATATATAAAGACCTCAGCTGTATTTAAAGAAGACCTCAGTAGTATTTTGACGAAATATCTGTTAAATTTATGCGCGCAATAATTTTTACTCACATTAATGCCAATGGTGCCCATGGTAGCTGGCAGCTGCAGCCCGCTAAGTAGTTGTAAGCTGCATAATGTATTTACGCAAGCACCGGAAATTGGGTGCTGCGGGAAGTGGAAGAGGGGGAGCAGGAGGCAGCTAGCATTTGCCTCCAGTTGGCAGCAGCAGCAGGAGCAGCAGCAGCAAAGACTCAGCTCGTCAGGTTGCAGCCACTGAGCTAAACGCGAATAGACAAGTGTGATCCCTTGCGGATGTGGATGCGGGTTGCGGAATGCGGAATGCGAATTGAGGGCTGTGAGATGTGAGATGTGCTGGATGCTTGATGTTAGATGCATATGCGGACTGTGGATACGGGCTGCTGTTGCTTGGTTTATGCGCGCATATTTGATGGCATTGTGAATTTCTGTGCAGAATTATAGCTCCCCCCACAGAGCGCTACCCACTCAGCTTGAGCATTCATTAATATGCAATGCTGCAGTGGGGTGAGGTGCTGAGCCACGCGAGTGGCACAGCCGCTGGAGTACGCGTTTGCCGTGCTTGGCTTATGGTTGACCAAAGGAACAGCAAAGCCATACCTTTGAAGGCTATTGAAAAGATGGCTCAGCTGGGCTTGCCAATTAATGTGTGGGCTATTAAATTCGACTTAAATACTTAGATGATTTCAATGGATTAAGCCTTTGTCTTCGACTCTTATATAAATATGTAGACAGTGAGCATGAGAGATATAAAGTTTTTCTGCTTGCTAAACATTTTAAGGCTTGAGAGATCAAGCACAAACATGGGACAAAATTTATTCAGATCTCCCAAGAAACTGCAACCGATTGACATATTTTGTTCACATGTATACATATTTGATTGATAAGAAATGTATATTTATGCTTCGAATTTAATTGTTTCCAAAACAATAATCATGGTTGCTAAGCTCTACAATCTAGAGGTTTCCTAATGACAACGTTCTCTAAAGTATTTGAATGCTCAATGCAAGTTATGTTCCTTCGCTATCCTGGACTCTATCACTCAATAGCTCCATCTGGACCTGCTGAATAGAGCAGAGTATGAATTGAGCTCAGTGCAGGTCAAACCATTCGGTGAATTATTGCCATTTATTGTGGTTAGTCAATTGGTTTACCCATACTGCAAGTAAAACATTAAATTAAAAAAAAATACAAATTAAAATAAACCTGGCCGGTATTAATTTTTCCATTTATTTGCATACATATATTTCGATATATAAAAGATTAATGTATGAAAAGAGATTGCGGATATTCGTTTCGTTTTCTCTCTCTGCTGCATGGCAAATACTCATTTAAATTTTAAATATAGTATATCCCTAGTTTAACTTCTTGCTCTCACTCTAGCCTTCAAGAATCAATAATCAACAGAGAAGAGTCCCAGCCTTGCTAAGCAACCTTTTGCATAGATATGCTCATAGTGCTAATTAAACATATGACATATGTACAAATGTATGTACATATATACAGTTATACATATCTCTAAGTATATTATTTCATATTACACTGAGCTAAACATTGTATATACAAAGTTTAATCTATGTTAATTTTCAGTAATTGCAGAGCATTTAGTTTTCAAACGCAGACGTCGAGCTAAGCAAAACTTTGACACTCTACCTATGCATATATGCTTAAACCTCTCTCTGCTTTAATGTCCCCTGGAAAATTTGTGGTTGTATGCAAATTAACTTGAATGTCAACGTTGAAACAAAATTTCATTTTTTCTTTGTGTGTGTGTGTGTGTGACTACAAACGCAGAATTCAGAGCTAACGAAATGTCAAAAAGGGGAATTTCAAACCAGCATTCAAATGACTGAAAAATTGTGCAGCAAAATGAAGCAAACGAGACGACGGCTAAATGGGGCAGAGTATTTGGAGAACAGAGAGAAAAAAACATAGTCAGAGACAAACTGCAAACGTCAAGCAAATTTCATCTCTCTCTTCCTCTCTTTCTCTCTCTGATATTTTTTTTTTAACTCTACATTGACTGAAACTCGGTGACAATGATGTTAACTAGAGTGTGAAAACTATGATTGGCTGTCGAGAGATATGTGCAGAGGGGGGGCAGGGGGCGCTTCAAGTGTTGGATAACGGGGCATGAGGCAGCAGCCGAGTGACGGCTGAAGAGAGGCTGTCCTTGTCGCTGTCAGCAGGAGTAGCGGCGGGTGCCAACGCCAGCAAAGTGCTCTATGATTTATACCGTATTTGCAGGCAGTTGTTGGGATGACATTCTCTTTACTTTAGCGACACATGCTCTCCCATACACTCACACACACACACACACACGCACACACTAGTGAAATTGTTGTTGCATCATGTATCACGTACGCTTTCAATTTGGCATCGCTCTGCGCCTATTGGCAGTGAAAAACTGTGCCAAAACGAAAGCAATTATTTTCAAATGCTGACTAATTAGTCAGGCAGGTCAACCATAAAATCCTTCGCTGATTTCTCCTCCAACTACGAGCTTCAACAGAGCAGAGGACAAAGCGCAAATTTCTTGCTAAATATAGATCAATGAGTGCATTACTCTGATTAATGTCGATTGTGCAACAGATTTAGACAGAAGAGCAGAGCTTACTTAATGCAACAAGCTAATCAAGTCGCAAAGTTCTTATATAAAATGTATAATAATCTATTATATAATGAGTGTAACTGTGGAATAATAAATTTCGCAAAATAAATGTGAATTAATTTGTAAATTACGTTTTTGTAAATGCTGCTTTATTACATTTCTTTGCTGGAAGAGGAGGACATTAAATTGATTATAGAAGTGATTTACATACAGAGTAGAGAGTAGAGTGAAAGAGAGAGAGAGAGAGCGAAGAGATTGTCGTTTAGTCATATGGAATAGGTCCGGGTACAGTTGCAGTATGGGGTCCAATTATCCAAATTATCATCGTTTAGTTGCGCCTAGCTGCACAGTTGGTAACCTCGAGGCGGCTGCGGCAGATCTTCAGCTCACGGTCGAACCACTGGCCGAAGGGGCAGGTCTGGTGTCTGGCTCGGTTGTTCCGGCACACATAGAAGCGGCGGCAATGTCTGGCGTTTGTGAACAACGTTCCATCCTCGTGGCCCTGGCAATCGCGTAGGGAGACCAGTTCCTCAGCTGGATTGATTACGACTGCTGCAATTTCTCTTCCTGCATCTGGAGCAATTGTTGTGCAGGGTGGCTCGGTTGTGGTACAGGGTGGTTTGGTTGTTGTGCAGGGTGGTTCTGTTGTAGTGCAGGGTGGTTCGGTTGTTGTGCAGGGTGCTTTGGTTGTTGTGCAAGGTGCTTTGGTTGTTGTGCAAGGCTCTTCGGTTGTTGTGCAGGGCGCCTCGGTTGTAGTTGTCTTAGTTGTGGTTGTTTTAGTGGTAGTTGTCTTAGTTGTCGTTGTTCTAGTAGTAGTTGTCTTAGTTGTCGTTGTTTTAGTAGTTGTAGTTTTAGTTGTCGTTGTTGCTTCAGTGGCTGTGCAAGGGGGCTTAGTGGTCTCGCATGGAGCCTCAGTTGTCGTCGTCGTTGTTGTCGTTTTAGTAGTTGTTGTTCTAGTAGTAGTTGTCTTAGTTGTCGTTGTTTTAGTAGTTGTAGTTTTAG